ATAGTCTCTTCCCGCCTTTCGACCCACCTCCTATGCCCCACTACAGCTACCGTCCTTTCCTCTCTATTCCATGCCTCAAACATCTCCCTGTACGTCCTATCTATTTTCCCAGCTCAGTCACGTACACTTCCCTCACCTTCTTGTACAACGGACATTCCGCGACTACATGAACACGGTCTTTTCGCATTCGAAGCCGCAATCACATTTGAACTCGTCGTCTTCGTCGTCTACCGTCCTATGCCTTCGTCGACGTTCTCGAAGGCCTATGTCCCCGGTCCTGAATTTGACCTTAAGCTTTGTTCCTGCATTCATTGGTCCATGTAGGTAATCCTTGAACCCTATTCCTTCCTTCAACATTCCGTATACTTAGACCCTCCTTACCCTTAGGTTCTTTCCTTAGATTCTGATATTCTCTCTCGGTACAAGCAACAGGTATCTTCTCCTTGAACCCCTTGAGACCCTCCGTTTCCAGCGTTTCATCTTCGTCGATGTCGAGCCCCTTCCATACGTCCTCTACAACCTTGACCCATTCCGTGGGTTGTCTACCCCTCTTTTTGTTTGCCCACTTCGCCTCCCATACAATCCTCGGCAACCTCTCCTCTCCCATCNCAGCTTCCCTGTTCGTGCTTTGCCCTTTTCCGCTACCTTTGACATGTGTGCATTCCACGAGCAGTCTTTTGCGATCTCGAGTGGAGAGGCGTCAAAACGTTGCTCTGGAAAACCTCGGAAAAAGCAGCATCACGCCGCGAGGGGTACACCATGCGCGACCATTGTAAGACGCCGAGTAAAATTGATGGAGATAGGACATACCAACAGCGGCAGTGGTGCGGAAACAACGGCCTTGCAAGTACTGCAAAATTTAGAAACGAGTTACCGCTGTCGCACCAATGCACCAAATAAGGGGAGCCGGGAAGCAAGAACGTTGCCACTACCTTGTAGAACAATCGGCCCAGCCAAAAAAGGCGCTCAATCTGAGGTGCAATATTATGCGTTCACGAACAAAGGCAAGGCCTGAAGCCGTATGCATGCATATGTACCTCCACACACAGCACCTGCAACCGAAAAAAAGCTAAAGGAAGCAGATCATCTCATCACATGATTGGCGGCGCACGCACACCTGCCTCGTCTGCAGTGGAAACGTCGAAATCGTCAGAGGAATACAGCAACGTGGCCATGGCTTACAGATGCCCGAGTCGAGGCACGTCCACTCACTATCGTCACTGGCGGTGGCCTACCCTTATCCGTGCTGGCCTTGTTGACGCGTTCAAAGAAGCAATCTGTTAACCCAAAAAGGAGAGAGAGAAGCGGCGAGCGGGTATTCAAGAGAAACGGGCACGTGACTGAACCACGCGAAGAAAGACAAAAAGTAGAGCATTTCTCGTAGAGATGAGGCAAGGAGGGGAGATAAAATGAAAATCACAAGAGCAAACCGCTGTGGTCGAAAGCACTCCTCCAGCACCCTCGAAATCCCTTCCGAAGAAAACACCACGCTTGTCCAAAACGCCGTCGCCGATTCTACCGGAGGGTCCTCAATTGGTATCTCCATGAACAACCAGATACACGTGAATATAAAGTAGGCACCAACAACACGCGCAAATGATCAGCAAGCAGACTACCATAGAACCACGAGAACAAGGCCGGCACGGGTCAAACACACGCTGGCACATGAAAAGCTGTGTTTACACCAGCGATACATCCATACCTGCTCCACGACAAACTACCCATTCAATGAGCGCCGAACCCCAACTCCAACAAGCTGAGCTTTCGGCGAAGAAAGACGGGGGCTTTGAGGAGGTCAGGACATGGTATATCGATGCAATACAAACACACACACACACACATATGAGTGCAGACACAGAGAGATGTGTTGCACTACAGTAGATCACTTTTGTTCAAGGATCGCTAATTCTTCTGACTCCTTAAACCTGCGAATGGTTGATGGATCTCGAGGTTAGGAGCTTGACTGAGTTCGCTCGGTCCCACTTGGCATTCCTCGCCGCAAGCCACGAAACAACATAGCCAGCTTCCGGTGGCAGGTCATACCCGCCACACTCCGGAGCTTACGCTCACGCAGAGTCGAGGGCTCCATATAGACCTCGACGAAGAGATATCTTCTTTTGGTGGAAGAGAACAAGAGCGGGACGCATTCGTGCCGAGCGATGGCGCGTACACCAGCCAGCGTGGTCGTGGCCCGCGCGGAACAGACAAACGTGACCGCTCCAAGTCACGGAGCCCGGTAAACCGGATGTGCCACGACCACGCTGGCTGGTGTCTGCGCCGATCGCTCGACACGGATGCGTCCTGCACTGGTTTAATTCCACCAAGAGCAGCAGACATCTCTTGGTCGACGCCGATACCAAGCCCGCAACGCTGGGTGAGCGTACGGTATGGAGTGTGGCGGCTATGACCTGCCGCCGGAGGCTGTCTGTTTGGTTTCGTCGGGTGTGGCGAGGAATGCCAAGCGGGACCGAGCGAAGTCATTCAAGCTAGGGTGGTGTGGACAGTTGGGCAAGCCTTCGTGGACTCATTTCCCGGCCGCTGAAAGCCCCATCAACCATTCACAGCTGTTGAGATTCCGAGGAAGTAGCGATCCTTGGAATAACAGCAGTGATCTATTACCACACACATCATTAGGAATGTGTATCTGTACCGCATGAATCCAGTGTATCCTGATTGCCAAAAAGACTTCAACATACCCGCTTCGACTGCTGGGGTGTTTCTCGAACTTTCAGTGATTGTATGTACATTCTTGCTAAATATATGAGGACCACCCGCGTCCGGCTCATGTCTCACCGTAGTGACCTCGACCGTGGCCCAGTCGGTTGCATGTGGGGTCGAGCGCCACCGCCGGGACGATGATCACGCCAATATCACCCTCCGTCACGCCATCTTCCCTCGAGAAAACCAGCTCCTCGGAGGGCTCGGGGATCTTCCACTTGGTGAGAGGGAAGGAGGCCACTTCCTCTTCCGATCGCACCGGGAACATGCGCATGTCCGCGGATGCGGCTCCCAGCACCTGCGGTCACGTGTTCCGCGTTATAAGCCTCAGAAACAATTTGTTTGAAATATATATTGATCACCTCCATCAGTACAAACAATTTGATTGAGTCCGTGAGTGTTTATGCACATGTGTGGGGACAAAATTACACACGTACGACCCCGCCGTTTGGAGCAATGGTCTACAGGCAGGAGAAGAAACGCGTCCTGCACGCTCTATCACTGAACGCCTCGTGCTCTCCACCTCGACCAACACCAAGAGATCACTGCTGTGACCTACATGCACTCTCCAAAGCGCTCAACCAAATGGTAGACCAAGTCTCTCTAAGGCATTACCTTGCAATGCTTCGTTGATGGGCCAGCAACACAACACATAACCTACCCCTGATACCCGTCCTTGCTGTGAAAGGTCAACTGATCGCTGCGGGCGCGTGTACATAAGCCGAAATAATCTACATTTTTGCCCACCTTGGGAATGTAGACTTTCTTCCCGCGCTTGAAGAGCCCGCTGACGATAGCGGAGGTGCCGAGCTCTTTCGGCATGGACAGGTACACGCTTACCGCGCCGCCTCCATCACCGCCCTCCTGCTGCTGCAGCTGGGGAAACGAAAGCAATCTCTCCGCAACGGCCGCCGAGGCCACACCGATAGCTTCATCGCTCATCTGCTTCAGCTCCGACTTGATGCGCTTCCGCAGAGCTTTCTTCTGCTCGCGAACGTTTTCCCCCTTGCCCCCTACACCGACGCCGCTGCTAGCCTCGGGTACGGCAGGGTTTGCCGCTGCGGCAGGTCCTCCTGCTGGTGAGGACATGTTGGTGCAACCAGACCGATGAGGAAAACAACTTCCAAAAGTCGGGCGAATGATCCTTGGCGATGCAGGGCGTCCCACGGCTCTCAGGCCTGAAGAAGGCGTCTGAAGGAGGCAGAGTCTCCTCGCTAGGATCTCACTAAGCATCTGCAGAGAGAGAAAGAGACACAAGAGATGCCAGACGTGGAGACACTGCCAAAAATGCGGCCCAAATTCAATCGGGGGTTTCCACTTGGTTCTAAAGGCCAAGGTTCAAGCGCTTCCGCTCAACGAGCGCGCTCGCCGAACGACAACCACAAGGACTACTCCGACCAGCAAACGCGGAGGAAGGAGGGACCGCCGGCGCATCCCCGTTGCTCCAGTCCAGCTCAAGCAACATGCCTGCGAATGACTCTTTCGTGGTTAACAAGACCAGGAAGTTCGCCGTGTTCGATGTGAAAGGCGGTGAGCAAGCAATGTACATCGTACAGCAGTAGCAGTCCACAACACCGAAGGATCGGTACGCCACAGAGACGCAGAGCACAGCAGCACAGCAGCATGGGTCCTCCGTCCTATAACGGTCGGCATGCCGGGTGTTTTTAATGGTGCAAAGGTGGTAGTCTCTAGAATTACCACGTTAATAAACGCTAAACATGGGGCAGGCACGCTCCACTTATGCACCATCCAGTCGACTCTCTCTTCTGCGGCCCGCCTCCGTACCAAAATGTATTTAGCATTAGCTTGGGTGCGAAGCCACAGCAGCCCGTGCACTCGATCGAGCACTGCTTCTGCCTGTAGCATTGCTCAGTAGCAACAGCATTGACTATAATACTACGGTTTGCCCTCCGCGCAGCAGTAGTGGTAATCATCACCAAGTTGTGTTCCCCGCTGCACTCGCCGCATTTTCTGGGCAAGTTCTTGTGGAAACAAGACGTGCCTGGGGCTTCGCGGCAGGTGGCCTCGTTGCCGCAGGTAAAAACGCGGCCTGTTATCGTGGTGTTTGATGCATTCAGATCTTTTTGCCACACCTCCTGAGAGCAGTGTCAGGATGCGCCCACCCACGGCAGGTCTCTCTTTTCCAACACCGAATTGCATCACGCTCTTTCAACACGTACTGTACAACAATAAGACACGACCCAGGGCGGTCGGGAGCTATCTTACCGGCCGGTCGGCGCGAACGTCCTCCATACAGCATGTAGAAGTACGACGTCTCACGCATGCCTCTGCCTGAATGCCGCTCTCTATTTAACTGACAGATGCGTACGTTCGCTTGCGCCGCCTTTATCCCCCCCCCAGTGACACAAGACGCGGGCGCGGCGTCCTCTTCCTCCTCCGACGCAGCAGCTGCTGCCGCCGGTAGCTCAACGACGGCAACAGCATCCTCCGGAAAGGGGAAATCTTCCAGCAAGGGGTCTAAGGAAGTGGTACTCGAGGTGTGGAAGGGCCGTTGTCGTCAGTGGCGCCCCCACCTTTCCTCTGCCGGGGGGGCGGCGGGGGTGTGTGTACTCCCATGTTTTGCATGCCGTAGCGGTTAGACCATTGACCACACGCCCTCCAGAGGACTGAGCATTGTTCCCACAGGACCGATCACTGCCGGGGGGGAGGAGGGAACAGGCATTTACGAAAAGAAAACCGAAGTTGTTGTGTACCGGTGTGCGGTTGGCGCTCACCGCCTAGCAGCTATACCAGAAGCAGTGGGGTGCGTAATGCCATGATTTCTGCCGATTGCACGGAACACATGTAGCAAACGCGAGACGCGCCGATCCTCTCGCACACGCGCACCCTGCCTGCCCGATCCCCGGAGCTGTGGCGGAGCGATAAACGACACCCACTTTGGTGCCTCACCGGGGCTTGAAACGACACGGCGTTTTACGTCTGCCGTAAAAGCTTTGTGAGAAGCTGCAGTCTCTCAACCCCCTCTTGTGCTACCGTAAACGTTGGAGTTTCCCCCCCCAGCAGAGTTTTCCCCTCCCCCCATTACCTTTTCGGCCTGGAAGCATGGTTTCTTTGATTTAGCCCCGGGGTAAATCGTTTTCGGCCCAAAAAAAAGATCCCCCCGGGTATTTCAATTTCCCCCCGGGGTACGAGTTTTCCCACGAGTTCCCCTGGGGGGATGCATTTCTCTCATTTTCTGAGTCGATTTTGTTGCATCGCGGAGCACAAAAAGCATGATGTGGGACGGAAAAATCATTTGCAGATCCGCGCTTCGAGCGAGATTTAGGTGTACCGTTTGTCACTGGAAGGCGGGCCCTTCCTCTTATATAATCTCTTGCGGGACGATACAAACTCCCTCAGCTGCTGTCCTCCTTGCTGTATTTTTTCTCCTCGCCTTCGTCGCTCTTACGTTCCTCCCTCTGCTTGTTGAACGCTTGCTCGTAAACCTTATCCATCTCAGTTTCGCCACTCTCTGTGTGTTTGGTGCGTGGACCATCACTATTTTGCACAACCCCGCGGGGGGGGGGCTTCCCCCCGGGGTAGCGTTGCTACCCCCCCCGGGTACGTCGATTTCCCCCCGGGAGGTTGGTTTCAGAAAAACAAACGATCCCCTCCCCGGGGGGAAAACTCCGACGTTTACGGTAATCGGTCCGTCAGCACGGATGGATCGAGCTTGACATTTGCCGTGCCTACGTACACACATCCAGATTTGCGCACTACTTCCTGGAAGGCGCTTTGATTGTACCCTACCTTCCCCCCCTGGTGTCTATTTAGCTTTTTTGTGGGAGTCGCGGGGGGCGACGGCGGATTTGCCATCTGATCAAGAGTTGCTTGATATCTCCCTCTCTCTCTCGCGCGCGCTCATCTCTTCGCTCGTGTTTGCTTACCGATATTCCTTTCCCTTCCCCTTCCCTTGTCCAGGCACCCCCATTTGACGTTAGCCAGCTCAAGGCGTCCGAGTGCTCGTTGGAAGAACGCTACGAGTTGTGCCGGAGTGTGGCGGACGAGTGCATCCAGGTGCGACTGATTTTCGGCTGCACAATGATGTTGTTAAGCTTGTAAAACAAGTACGTTTGAGAGTACGCATCGCTGAAATGTGCGGCAACAACGATTGATTGCGACAACCAGAACAAACTTGTGAGCATCAGGTGGAAGGCTGCTGTCGGAAAGTGCCGAGGCACTTCGTGTGGCTGCACGCTGCCACCCGCTTCGTGGGTGTTATTCTCAACTGTTTTCAGATGTAGGCTACCTGCAGTGGCTTGTTTTTCTTTCGAGGCCACCTACGTCGTCCTCGTTGCTAAGCGAGGTTACCATATTTCTTCAGGGTCCTTTTTTGTGTTTTGTGTTCGGTGCTTGTTGTCTTGACTTCTGGACGCGTTTCAGGAAGAGGAGCTTAGGCGCTTGTTGGAAGCACGAGCACACCCAATCTGCTACGATGGCTTCGAGCCCTCCGGACGCATGCATATTGCGCAGGGAGTGATGCGAGTGATCAACGTCAACAAGCTCACCAAGTGAGCTCGAGACCCTAGAGAGGGGGGTTGGGCGGGGAGTTACGGGGTATGGTTTTCATCTTACCGGGGGGGGGGGGGGCCNGGGGGGGACACGACGCGGTAGCCACGGTACTGATTCGAGGTTGCGTTGGTCCCGAGCTGTGTGGTGACCATTGTAGATGTGTGGAATGTTGTCAAACGATGTTGTTGTTTTGTTTTTGCACCCACATGTTTGGCCGCCGCTGTAGCAAGTGCTGGTGGTTGTGTAGTTGTTGTTCAAGCCCGCGGTGATCACGGCCGGCTTGCTGGCGTGCTGCCCCTACCAGGGTTGCCCCATGCCGGCGTCGTGGCATGGATTTATTTCTGGCGCTCGGTTGTTCAATCTTTGTCACACGCAGACACCGGTACCTCTTCTGAATGCCACGACTCGATGTCTGCGTGTCCCCTGGTTTATTTCTGGCGCTACACCCTTTGGAAATTCCTTACACTCTCTTCGTGCGGTACTAGGTGGCATCAGTGCTGTAGGTACCACTAGATACCATTTAGATCTTCTCCTTGACGTGTCACTACTTCTGAAACGAATAATTACAACCAAACTTCCAACAAGTCGGTTCCGATGCGTTTGTCTGTTTTCCTCTTTTCTAACGTAGCGTCCTGCTTTCCTGTCTTTTTCCCCTCTCGTTCAGGGCGGGGTGCCATTTCAAGTTCTGGGTCGCGGATTGGTTCGCTCAGCTCAACAACAAAATGGGGGGTGACCTCAAGAAGATTCAGGTGAAGAATGACGATGCTGCGACGAATTGAATCAGGAGAGAAACATTCGGGTGATTCGTTGGCCGTGGTGTGTGTGTGTCTTTGTTTTATTAACATTGATCACGCTTTAGCCGGCTGACCGATGAAACGAAGACGTCAGTCTTGTAGCGGGATAAAAAACGCGAACATGTACTGTTTGTGTGTGTTCATTTCCAACCACACGGTGAAAGGGGAACGGGAGGTGGACGTGGTAATAGTCTCTTGATGTGCCAGGATAGCATAAACTAAGTTCCTTCAGTATGGTAGCTGGTGTGTGGGAGCATAAGGTACAGATGGACCCGTTTGACGTTCCTCTGGGGGGCACTTATGCCAAATTGTCGCTTTGTTTATTTTCTTTTCTCTCTCCGTGGTCCAGATGAAGAAGGAAGACAAGACCCGTGAAAAGCGAACACTGCTGTTGTTTTTCGAAGTATTTTGAACAGATCCCGAAACACGCACGACGACGGCGACGCCATTGTTTTTGTTGTATTTTTTTGTGCAGACCGTGGGTAAGTACATGATCGAGATCTGGAAGGCGACGGGGATGGACATGAACAACGTAGAGTTCTTGTGGGCGAGCGAGGAGGTGCGGCGATTTTTGCGGAAGGGGTGTTTGCACGGGGGGGGGGGGGGGGGGGGGGGGGTCGTTG